TAGATAAATCATGTGGTATTGGTAATGCTGATTTAAAAAAATTACAAGAAGCTGGATTTTGTACGGTTGAATCTATTGCATTTGCACCAAGAAAAAGTCTTCTAGCTGTAAAAGGTATAAGTGATGCAAAAGCTGATAAATTAGCTGTAAGTTTTTATATTCAAAATCGAAAACAAAAAAATTAAAAATTAAAAAAAATTTTTTTTTTTGTTTTAGGCTGAAGCAGCAAAACTTGTTCCAATGGGTTTTACAACAGCTACAGAATATCATCAAAAACGTTCAGAAATTATTCAATTAACAACTGGTTCAAGAGAACTTGATAAACAATTACAAGGTGGTTTCGAAACAGGTTCTATTACAGAATTATATGGTGAATATCGTTGTGGTAAATCACAATTATGTCATCAAGTTGCTGTTACATGTCAAGTAATTGTTTGTTTTTTTTCAATATACTTTTTAAGAATAAAATCTTATGTAATTTTTTTTTTTAGTTACCAATTGATATGGGTGGTGGTGAAGGTAAAGCAATATATATTGATACAGAAGGTTCATTTCGTCCTGAACGTTTATTGGCTATTGCTGAACGATATGGTCTTTCTGGTCAAGATGTTTTAGATAATATTGCTTATGCACGTGCTTATAATACAGATCATCAAATTCAATTATTATATGTGGCAACAGCTATGATGTGTGAATCAAGGTAGAAGAAAAAAAAAATTTATTATTTAAGATAAAAAAAAAAAAAGATTTTTTGAAATATAGATATGCAGTATTAATTGTTGATAGTGCTACATCATTATTTCGAACAGATTATTCAGGTCGTGGTGAATTAGCTGCTAGACAAATGCAATTAGCAAAATTTATGCGTATGTTATTACGTATTACAGATGAGGTTTGATTGAATTATTTTATAAAATAATTTACAATTAGTATAGTTTTAATTTAGTTTGGTGTTGCTGTAATACTTACAAATCAAGTTGTTGCTCAAGTTGATGGTCAAGCTATGTATGGTGATCAAAAGAAACCTATTGGTGGAAATGTTATGGCTCATGCATCTACAACACGGTAATTATTATTTTTAATTTTAATTTTGTTCCTATATATTTTTTTTTTAACTTTAGACTTTATTTAAAAAAAGGCAAAGGTGATTCACGTATATGTCATGTTGCTGATAGTCCATGTTTACCAGAAACTGATGCCATATTTGCTATTGGCCCAGAAGGAATTGTTGATGCAGCACCTAAAGATCTTTGTTGATTTGTATATATATATATGTATAAGATTTTTATGTGAATTATTTATTGTATTCTTCTTATTAAATGAGAGATGTGAAACATAAGATAAAAGTCTATGAACGTGTTACATTTATTTAATAATATCTTATTCTTTTGTTTAAAACGATTGATGATTAGATTTTGAAAATAAAGATTTTATATTGATGAAAAAAAAATAAATAAAACTATTGAAATCAAAATTACATAGAAAATATAAAAATATACTAAAGAGAAATTGAAAGAATACGATAAGTGTCAATATTCTTGATTTAACTAGTTACATAGACAAGATAATCAAGAAAACACTACAGTCACAAATTCTTTAATCTTTCTGCATCTGATTTGAAACGATAACTGACTCATAACAAGAAACTATTAAATTAATCAGAGTGCTCAAACACGTGTATCTAAGGATAAGCAACTTTCCTAGAGCTAATTTTCACATGTTATATTTATGTTAATTTATCCTAGACATTCTAAAAAAGCAGCGCGTGAGACAAAAAAACCTTGTTTAAAATTTGACCATAGATGCAGTTTGCGTCGTAGAATCTATCCTGAAGTTTTCGAATACTGGAAGAGTCAACATTTTTACATACGTGTCTACTGAAAGAACTTATTCAGAAAAATAATTCTCGTAAAAAATCAAAGTCAAATGAAAGATGAATATGTTTCGTTTTGCTTGAAATGTTCCATATATTAATGAGATACAGAATTTACAGCAAAATGACGACATCTGTAATTAAATACTCTCTATATAGTGAAGTTTTCTATCTCGAGCACATCAATCAAAACAACAAAAACTACTTTTCTTATTGATAGTTTTCTATTTTATTACTTGTTCAGGAAAAATAAAATATGTACATCTAAAGATGAAAGCTATTGTACGTAGTGGTACAAGAATGAACTTACAAGTAAAATCTTCCAACTGACAAAATCGTTTTTGAGTCAAGACTACGTACATTACGTAGACCTAAATGAGTCATGAATACCATGAAATGAGTTCGTACTTTTAACTTATCGGTACGAAAATAGTGCATTTTTACGAAATTTTTTAAATAAATGCTTTGGTAACAGAAAAAATGATTTTTGAATTTCGATTTGAAATGTCGCATAGAGACAGTTCTTAACGAGAGTAGTTTATAGTGAACTCTTCAGATCTTTTGATTCGCTCCTATCTTGAAATACAAGCATTAAATCTATCAAAATCTAAAGATAATTTTAAACATCTGAAATCTAAATAAAAAAAACCAGAATCGAAACTATTAGTATAAAAGAATTATTTTTTGTTTCTTCGAAAAATTCAATTTTACAAATTAATCGTCTCTTAAAATAAAAACTCATCTAATGAGAAAATTCTATCGATAAATTTTCCACATAAAAAATTTTTTTCTGATTAAAATTGATCTCTAAGTAAATACATTATCTATGTTTTATTTTCTCAATGGGTAACATGACCTGGAAAAGAAAAAAACCAATTCTTCATCATGCTAATGCGAACAGGAATACCTACACTCTCAAGAAAACTAATTAAATAAAAATATTTTTTCTACGAGCTGCTTTAAAGAGAAACGGATGGTAAATTATGATTTTGGTTTTCTCGGAAATCGTGTAAATTTTTTTTTCAATTAAGAAAATAAGATGTGTAAGAACTCAAGTAAAATTACTATGATGAAATACATACGCAAAAAAGAATTTTAAGAAAAGGTAGCAAACGAGACATTCGTAATTTTTGCAATTAAATAATGACTATAGCATAAGTTTTTTTTCTATTTACTATCGTTTATTCTTGACTGCAATAAGCAACTTTTTTTTTTTTATTCCATAGAATGTTAACTAACACAACAACAACAACAACAACAGCAGATGATACATCAGCAGAATCATTAATTGTTGCTTATTATTCTTTAATATTGATTATTATTGGAACTGTTTTTAATTTTTTAACATTTCTCATTCTTTGTCGATCAACATTTAGAGATAAAAAAACAAGACCAATTATTCATTATATGCGTACAATAGCTATATTTGATATTTTAATGTTATATGGATGGAATCTTGATCATTATCTAGTAATTGTACATAAATTTCGTCTTCTAAAATATTCAATAGTATCATGTAAATTTATTAGTTTTATCAGTTATTTTACTTCACAAACATCGGCTTGGCTTCGTATCTTTGTTTGTCTTGATCGATATTTATCATTAAGTTATTTTCATCGAGCATGGATGAGTCGATCAAAAACTGTTCTTATTATTATTACGTGTGTTATTATGACTTCTTTTCTATTAAATTTGCATATACTTATTTTCGGTTGTTATCGAAAAAATAATGGTATCATTAGTATTCAAGCACGATCATATAGAATCTATCCTCTATGGAATCATATTAATTTAGGTGTATATAATTGTATTCCATTCATATTAATGGTTATATTGAATAGTGGTGTTAGTTATCATTTACTTCATTTTCATCGCACTAATTCAACTTCAAATCCGCGTATTCAAAATCGAATTGTAACACTTACATTAGTTATAACAACATCTCTTTTTCTGGTTATGACTATACCAGCAACAGTTGCTTCTGCATTTTTTATGGGAGCAAATATTACGATATTACATTTTTTAGATGGCATTCTTTATACATATCATGTATTATCATTTCCATTGTATTTAATTACATTTAATAAATTTCGACAAGAATGTATTAGAATGTTAACATGGAAATTTTGCAATCAAAAAGTTACACCACTAGTCGATCTTCAATAGTAGCAATATAAATAGATAATGCATATTTAAGACTAACGTCTTTTTATTGTTATTTTTTTGTTTTTGTAGTTCCACCACTTACATATCTATACACCTTCTAAATATATGTACATATGAAATATCTCTTTAAATAAAAATTATTTTTCGGATTTACTCGAAAAAATAAAAGAACAAAGCCAACAGTGTTTATACAAGGATTAAAAAAAAAACAAGAGAAAAAGTAAAAATACTTCATGTATACACCAAATGAATATTGATAATTTGTATTCATACAAATCTAAATTTTTGAATTATTTATCCGTAAAGAAAGTTTGATATATTGATGTGATCTATACCAATTAGACATGTATTGAATTCGAGTTCGGAAACTATCCAATTAGTTCAGACAGTGTCGAGTATTTTGGCAATTGTCCAAGACTTTCTGAATGTATATGGGCAATCATGAAGGCACTCTAAAGTTCGATTAAGTTTGACTATTTCTGAACATTGTTGACTTTTTTTTAGCATGTCTGCAGATCTTTGGTTTTTGAATCATTCATTCCCCCCCTGTGTGTATCTACCATAACCAATCTTGAGGTCCTCTCTTTAGGCTTACTTCTTTTTTTTTTAATTGACTGAAAATGATCATAGTCAACATTGAACCAGAAAATTTGCTACTAAGCAACATTCCGTACCGCGAAGTAGCCGAAAGACAGAGGTGTTCTTCCCTTTTTTTTCTGTCATAAATTGTTAAAAATGATTTTCATATTTCAAGTTCATTCTGTCTAATTTTTAAAGTTACAAGTTATTGTTTCAATATATTTTTCTATTTGTACTTGACAGATATTTTTTTTCATATATATATATCAAACATATCGAGAAAAGAAAAAACCACAAATGATACGATTCGGGTTGTTTAGATAAGAAAACAAAAACGAAGACGAATTACGTGAATAGAAAAAAAGTACAAAGTTTCTTTTTTTTAACGTGGTGGCGGCGGTGGTGGAGGAGCTGTTTTTGGTAATGGTGGTATAAAACCAGGATTATTATTTTGATAATATTGTTGTTGATAAATACTTTGATAATACATAGCAGCATTATATTGATTCCATTGATTCCATTGTTGCTGTTGTTGTTGTTGTTGTTGTTGTTGTTGTTGTTGTTGTTGTTGTTGAGAATTTTGAGGATTTGGCCATGATGTTGATGGATTTGTATTACTGTTTGGTCCTCCATTTTCCATTAAAGCTGGTATATGTTGAGCACGATATGAATCACCTTCAATATATGCTGAATAATTAGTATTTCGATTATTTCGTCGAAGAAGATAATGACCATCGAATACATCATTATTATTATAACGAGGTCCTGTATTACTCCAATAAGTTGATGATGGTTGTGGTTGCGTAGTTGCTGCATTATTTGGATTAAGAGACATCAATGATGGAGGATTCTTTAAGAAAAATATATATGTATATATTTAGTTTTATATGATAATATATATATATAATTTAATTAAATTCTTCATAGACTGATGCAGATAAAAATTTTTTTTTCTTTCGAAATCATCAGATCGATACGTATGTGTTTTCAAATGGCAATACTATAAGCTTTCAAAACTTATCCTTTTGAATTAGAGCTGAACATCGGACAGGACAGTCTTATATTTGATCTAATCTTTTTTACCTTCTTTGCATCACACGTACTGTCGTCAGTAATACTTGATAGATATTTAGAATGAAGATGTGAGAGTCTTCTCTCACCTTAATATTTATTTTGGTGAATCAAAAATCAGAATAAGAATTTTTATTGTTATGCTTGCTGTCCTATCCTGTGTGGGGCAGGGCAGCAATGCAATCAATTTTTGGTTCTGTCCTGCCGGCAAACAAGACAAGAGATAAAATAGCTGATACTGCTCATACCTATCGAATAGGCATTATACGAAACCGAAATGATAACTTCTCATTCTAGTCTATAGCTTTCAGAAAACTGCAAACAATTGGAGAGATATTTTTTATTTGTTCTATTCTCTATTTACTTTTCTCAAAATTTGAATAACTACAAAAAGACAATAATTGAAAACTCAAGGGCAATACTATCTAACGAAATCATAATAAGGATTTAACTTACATAATTATTATTAGTAGTAGTATTCGTTGTTCCATTATTATTAGTAGGATTAGTAGAAGTATTGAATGTTGCTGGAAGAGTAGTGGCTGGATTATTTGTTACTGGAGCTCCACCTGTTATCGCTAATGTTGGTCCGGTTGTTCTTGATCCACTCATTAAACCTTTTCGATCTTCTAATGATAAAGTATTTGTATCCGAATCTTTTTTACCCGTTAATTCATTAATTAACGATTGATACTAAAAAAAAAAGAAGAAAAGAAAATATGATTTTAATTAAAATAGTTTGTGTTTTTTTTTTATAAACCTTACTTCACAATCAAGTTTTTGTTGTTCAACTCTATTTGCTCCATTAACCATGAGTGATCCATCAGGATTTAATTCTGCATAAGTACCATCCGAGTTTTTACGAAATTTACAATCACTTGGGACATGTCCAGCTCCACCACATATTGTACATATTATTGTATTTGTAATAATTTTTTCAGCTTCAGTCATTAATTTAAGTTTACTATAAAAAAAAAAACAAAGACAAATTTTATATTAATCTTACGATGAAAGTTCTTCAATTGATAAACTACTTTTGAGTCAAGACTATCTAAGAAGTAAATAAACTATGAATACCTTGAAAAGAGTTCGTGTCCTTAGCTGATTGTTGCAGAGACACTATACTTTTACGGTATTTTTTTGAATGAATGCTGTGATACATAGTTGTATCTTAGGATAGGAATAGCGAGAACATCTAAAACATTTACAAAAATTATTCTCGTTAAGATCTATCTCTACACATGTGATAACTACCGCTAGTATACTGCGTTATACCAGTAGGTTTTTTGTTGAAAATGTTGTATCAAATCAGGGGAATATTTTTGAAGTCTTTTAAAACTAATAGAATTGATTCGATTTCAAAGCACTCTAATAATATTGATGTGTCTGTATTAGTCACAGAGTTTAAAATCGGCACCAGTAATGAAATAAATTTTTGTTAGTAAAATATATTCTGAAACTGTTTTCTTCTCGATTAATTTGATTTCTTTCTAATAAATAATTCAAATTTCGATAGAAAACACTCTCTGCAATCGTTTATAGATAAAATCGAAAGTCTTATGAGTGCCACGCTAGTGTGATATGTATTTGGAATGGTTCAAGTCGAAATTCAGTTTTTCTGTTATCATAGCAATCATTTAAAAAATAACAAAGTGCAGTATCTCCGCAGCAATAAACGAAGGACGTAAACTCTTTTCAGGGTATTCGTATATCATTTGTTTCTACATAGTCTTAACTCGAAAAAGCAATTTATCAGTTGGAGGATTTCTGTCATTAGAAGAAAAATTTTTTTTACATGAGACAATCATTTTCACGTAATGTTCCATGAAGTAATGCTAATTCTCGTAATTGTTGTTTACGTAATTCATTCATTCCTTCAGGTTCTTCAATAGCTTGATTTATTATTTGATTAACCTATATATAAAAAAAAAAAGTTGAATTTTTTTGAATAATATTATTAAAAATTCTTTTATAATTACCTTTTCTACAGCTTTAGCTACAACTTCGGGTGAAGTACCGGTTATATAAGCATGTAAAGGTTCATCTTCACCTGGTAATGGACCATATTTGACTAAACCCATTTTTCCATCTTTGATTGATCCTTTGCCTAGAAAAAAATTTCTATTTAAATTTAAAAATCTATGCGAACTAGATTGTATACCTCTAATGATGATTTTTGCATTGGTCTAAACAAAAAAATAAAGAACAGGTTTTTTTTTAGTTAAAATATATAAGATATAAATATACATACTTCTTTTTCTAATGTTTTGAGTGTATTACCACGTGGTCCAATAATTAAACCAACAAAATTAACTTCTGGATGATCTTCTTGTGGAATCATTACTTTATCTATATATTTTGCTTGTTGAGGTCTAAAATTAAAATATTTTGATAGATTATTTTTGACAAAAATATTCCAAGGAGAAAAAAACAATGAGATTTTATTTTCATGTCATAAAACAATTTAACTGACAGAAGTAATGAAAGTTTAGTTATAGAAAATCTCATTTTTATAGGTATAGTTGACTTATGAATAAATTCTAATGATTTTTCAAGCTAAAATGGAATTTCTTGGAAAAGAAAAAAACAAAAATTCTCATATTAAGCTTTACGAACTCAAGAATTTCTTTTTTTTTCCTTTGAAATATCTGTTTTCACTATTTTGTGTATGCATTATCTATTGTTATGATGAGTAAATAAAATCGACGAGGAAACTACCCGAACTGATACTCGCCGTTTCAGTTCATATTGAGTTCACAAGAAAATCTTGACAAGACAAGAAAAATTCGAAAAAAATTCATGTCCATAGACCTCTGAAGCCGAGTTATGACTGTTTTACTCAATTTTCGACTTGAAGCTTTGCCCGTAGATAGATCTGATGACTCTGGAAATGTGCTGAAAGTTTCAGTCGGATGGAATGTTCCTTTGTCGAAATATCAAGTTCTTAAAAAAAAGGTCGTTTAGCATCAAAATGGAGTTTACTTGAAAATCTAATATGTCGACAAAGGAATGATCTTTTGAAATAGGCTCTGAGTCATTTGATCTTTGTATGGGCAAAATTTCAGATCGAAAATTTAGTAAAACAGTCATAACTCTGCTCGAGGATCCATGAACATGAATGTTTTTAGAATTTGTCTAGTCCTCCTTGTGGATTCAATATGAGCTTAAATGGTGGATATCAGTTCGGATAGTTCCCCTCGTGAATGATTCAAAGAAAGCGAATACAATCTGCGAAATATCTGAAGCTCCGGAAGGGATTAAACTGTGAACCACGATGTAGTGGTTGTTGCTAATCACAGAGAGATTATTTTATTTTATCTATTTTGGGACACATTTCTTCAATATCCTTTTACTTAATTGTTCCAGAAAAACAATAAGGAAGTAATCCGTATTTCAAAAACTCGGGCGGGTGGATATTTTTTGAATAACTTTTGGTAGTAACAAGATTAAGAGCTCCGATTTTCAGCTTCGGAAAGAGAAGATGAAGGCCATCGAATCCTATATTAAAGATTTTCTTTCCGTCTAATCTTTTTGAAAACGAACGTATCCTATAATGTGACTACAGTAAGTTTTGAATTATCAGATGTATATTCAAATTGTCAATCAAAGATCTAAAGAACTACGCAAATCTCAGATTTATACATTTAATCATTGAACAGTTATCGGTATCCTACTCAAACTCTCAATCGATTGTTATGAAAAAAAATCACTTTTTTTTTAGAAAATTGATTAAAAAAAATTCAGAATTCACTTCCTCTTTCCAAAGGTAAAAACCACAACGCTCTTTTTTTTCGCAATGGGTAGTAGTCCATGTATTGAAACGAGATGTTATTAATAAACAATCTTCGATCGTATATCGACAATATCTGTGACGATCAAAATTTCTATCCCTATATTTCAACACTCCTTTTGGATTGTATTTCACAAACCTAGTATTCTGTTAGCGTCAAATCGACGGAGACTATCTCATTTAAACTACAGCCTTCTTTCAGTAGGATTAAAATGAATTCTATGTTATGAAATACATACTTATAATCAGCTGGTGCTTTATATTCAGGATTAAGTACAAGTAATTCCGCAACAAGGTGATGACGTTGTTCTTCAATTCTTCGTCTTGCTCGAACTTCTCGTGTATTTTGTCTTTTTCCTTGTTGATCATAAATTGGTTCGGGTGATGGAGACCTAAAACAATGAAAATACAATATTGTAATTAATTAATTAATTATCTCGGTCTATGTTGTTTCGTTTCTTTTTTTTTTTATAGACAAAAATAAAGAAATAATACAATCCATCGTGTAGAAGGCTGAGCTAGAACATAAGATAAGATTAAATTTTAACCTGAAAGAAAAAATGATTAGACAGGGATTTATCTTAAATATATATATATATTTATATATTGTACGCGTCTTTATTATCTCACCTTTCAATATCGATTGACGTTCAACGTCACACATAGACACGAGAAGATGACTAGAAAAGGAAGAGGATTTTAATATTAGAGGAAAAACAAAAACATAATGGGAGAAACACTTCTGTCTGGATTTTGGTGCATTAGAAGAATTCGTAGCACTAAATAAAACAAAAAAGTGAACTTTTTGTATCAACTAACGCAAATCGATACTCGAAAAAAAATAAATAAATAAAGATGAAAGAAAAAAAAATGTCAAGTAAAAATAAAAAATAATAAAAAGAAAAAGAAATTAAGAATAATTTCAATTATTTACCTGGCTTCAGGATCTGTTCGAATATTTAAATCATTCATTTTTAAACGTCGTGTTAATTCTTCAATTTGAAGTTGTACTAAAAAGAAACAAATGATTTTCTATAAATCAAAAAAAAAATAATAAATTCACTTACAAATATAAGTTTTTTGTTGATGATCTGTCATATTAGTCGTTGAAATTGTTGTCGGCATATTAGGTAAAAACACTCGGTCAGTTTCATCACCAAAACGTCGTTTACGTTTTTTTGTGGCTTGTGTATTACTTCCTGGTGAATCAACTAAAATAAAATAAAATAAAAAAAAACTCTTTTGTTTTGTTTTTTATTTTCTATATACCTGGTGATTGATCTCCTGTTGGTGATCCATTTTTATCATCTTCTTTTACATCTAATTTAGCTAAAAATGATGGTGGTAACATAATAGAAGGAAGTCGTGGTTTATAAATAGAATTATTTTCATTAGTTGATCCTTCTTCTTTTTTTATTGAAATATTATTTATTGGTGATGAAATTTCATCACTAGATTTTCTTGAACGTTTATGACTTCTTTTATGTCGTTTTGACGGACTTCGACTACGTGAACGTGGACTTCGTGATGGCATATGAAATATGAATAACTTGAAACAATTGGGTAATTAACAAAGATGCGAAAATATTTATATTATTTCTTTCATATTTGTTACTTCGTTTCCTCCGTTCATTAAAATATAAATTAATTGGTTAAGACTTTTCCACATGATGTCACTAGAAGATGATGTTAAAATATTTCTTAAGTATATTAACGGTTATTGATCACAATCGTTTGTTGCTTCGGACTTTTCGAGCAAAGATATTCGTACGACTTTTACTACTTATAGAGCTCTATTGCACTGTTATGTTTAATTTAATGACTAAGCATGTTCCAATTTGACTAAAATTTATATCACTAGTAAGCCATTTAGTGCTGATTAGCGTCCTACAACTGGATTGAGTCCGAGTTTGAGATCGTACTCAGCATCTGATCCAGAAATCTATGAGATCACGATGTTTCAAAAATACTTTTACTTTTTCAAACTTGTTTATATATAAAAGTGTAGGAATGAAAACCGATTTGATTATGATTGAGCAATTTATTATACTTGAGAATAGATCACAAAAGTGAAGAGCGATATTGTTCTAGTAAAAAAATTTCATTTTTAATGAAGATTCATCTACAGATGATAAGGAACAATATGGTAAAGTAATTGAATACATGAAGACGAAAATAAATTGTCATTTGAGTAGAAATTATACTCATACTCACACAACATATTGAATGCCAAACTTGCACGTGATGAAGCTCTGCAACAAATTTAAACATGATTTCGTGTTGATTAATGCCATTACTATGGATGCCGAAATCAATAAATGTCTTCATTAGGTTTCTTATAGATAGAATAGAATTCGATTCTTGTCGTTTGCCGACAAACAGAATCGAACTTTTTTTCATTCAAAAGTATGACTATTTCAAAAAACAAAATTACCATGCTATATCTATTCGGGTATACTGTCAATCTGCCAAGAATATTTCTCACAAGTTTTTTTTTCCGACAACATTTCAATTGCTTATCACTGTGCTGAAAAAACAATTATTTCAGGAAATGATAAATAGACAAAACTTTTAGGTCAATATGCGACATTTTCTTAATAGAAGTAGTTTTATCATTCGTTCTGTATTTCTCTCGATTTAGGCACATCCAAGATATTTTCAAATAGGCAATGACTTTGCAGAAATTCTTTCTTGTTCTTAGCCGCTGAATAATACTAACTGACCTGTATATAAATACCAGAAATAGAATGCTTCAGAAGCATCTGTCCAGAAAGCTATTGGTATCTAGAGCAAACAATTTGGATCAATCATCTGTTTCAATAATTGTACTGTAAAATCGAATGATTTCTGTATAAGATTTTTAGAATTATTCTCTATAACAAAAAAACAAAATTATATATGTGGCACCATGCGTAATAAAATGGCATGTAAGATATAAAATTACCTTCCAATTTGAGTTTTTTACTTAAGAATAAGTATAACAAATATCATGGATACGAAAATAATAACAACGAATACACTATAGAAAATATAAATCTAAAAAAAAAACAATGAAGTGAATCCAAATATATTATTGTTTGAGTTCGATTTACCGTTGTAGGTGATATACGATTGTCATTATTTTTTTATTCATGTTTGCTGATTAAGAAACTTGCTTCGTATTTTTTCGAATCATTTGTCACACTTTTATGTATATTTTGTAAAACGAAATACGTCATTAGATTACTTCAGATTTCAGCTTCAATTACATAAATTAATAAATAAATTGTTAGATTACTTGTCTATGAAGAAGATTTGCTAGTTTAAAATGTCAAGAAAAAAATATTAAAATATTTATTCGTTGTATTATTACCATCAGCCTATTCATTTTCATCAAATTGAGTACTGTAACACATAAGCACTTTGCATTGTCTACATGCTCACACGGAAAATACCACATATGATTGCTACTAAACAGCAGTATTTTGAATGGATTTTGTTTGAACTCACTGATACACTTACTCGAATACAGTAGTACTGCTTTTGAATACATGTTAGCTGTAATATAGGTAAGGACACCAACTTGACCAATGACAATGGTCTATTTATAACAAAAAATATAAATAAGTGGCGTAGTGAGAAAAAGAGCAGCAAATATTGAAGCAGCCAAGTTCAATATCAATGAATAGAGACCAACCTCTTTTTCTGTATTGACACTCGATTGTAAATTGGAGATAACATTAAATGAAGTATATATACAGACGAGTGTAAGACAAATTATAGTGAAATTTCGCTTTTTTTTCTCCTACTTTCTTTGCATTTTGGTCAAAATCCTTATTGTTCTTGCTTCCACTGCTGGTCATTAGATCTACAATTCAAGATTCGATGTTCGTTTTTTCTGCTTGAACTCCTCTTGGAATCTTATCATAACAAATAAAATGATGTCTCGGTAAGAATTACAAATCCGAATCATTGATTCTTATCCTTAAATGATTATAAGACGAATAAAATAGCATACGCTTATCATTCTGGTTTTTCCTACTTGTAATAATTGTTCTTGAAACTTTTATTTTTATTTTTAATTCAAATTCATGTTCGATTATATTATTTTTCACGATTTTTGTGAATTCGACCTCTTTTTTTTTTACTGTAATTAAGTCAGTTCAATCAAGGAGTGTTGCAATGTGAGAGAAAATTTAACAATATTCGTGATTTTGCGCTATAAAAGAAGGGTAAAAAGACTATTCCATTGGTTTGAAGATCTCACTATGTTCATATCTATATCCACAATCTTGTCGATTGTTTCTTCTGTCGGAGTCGTCAGAATATCGATCGGTTCCGTTATAATCTGGCATTGTTTCGGCCAGTTCTTGCAACCAGATTTTGGTTAGATTCTGACCCAGACAACTGTAACGTTTTTCAGACTGGGATCCATTCGAAATACGTCGAAAACATAACGAGACCTGTCAGCAAAACAGTTACTGAAGTCTAGTTATAAAGAGCATAAAGAAATGAACTAGACAAGAATGATTTAGAAATATCGACATTTTTCTTGCACAGGACATCGCAAGATGACATACATTTTCACTTTTTTAATATAAACATTTAAAAATTAGTTGTAACTATTAGAGCTAGTCGGCTCATAGTACAGTTGATACAAATTGTTGGACAACAAAATCAAATTTTAATTGTATTTTTTAGCAAAGTTCTATGTAAGACAAGCGATACTGATGATCTTTTCTTCTGCTATAAGCTTAGATTTGTTTAACACGAATATAAAGGGTAATATTTCTATGAAGTCACTCCATATTATTTGACATTTATTATCTAGGATAAATAGGAATGATCAATTAACTATGTATTATCTATGTCGACAATAGTTAGTATCTGTTAACATGGAAAAATGATGCTTGTCAAGTATTTCATGGAATCTCGAAGTATGATACATTCGAAGTGGACATGCATATTATTACTTCTGAGAGAAACATAGAACTAGAGTGCACGATACAGTTTAAAAATATTTATTGATTATTAAATAACGGTCCGCGATTAACGTGAGAGAAGAATAGTTAACCCTTTCAGACCCATCCCATGTAATGAAGACCGGAGAAAAACCGGCGGTTTTACCAGTCCAGTTACCAATTCCCATTACTGCGGTAAACCGATCCTTCTGCGCAGTTAACTGGCATCGTTTGATTCTGTGTTTCGTTAATATCTTTACTTAAATTTCACAGTTATTTTTCAATTAACCTAATTTTTATTTTAACCAAAAATACAAAATACAAGCCAACGCAAAAAAAAATAACACAAAAAAATGAATCTGAAAAGATAAATAGAAAAGAATTAATCTAACAAAATAAATATAAAAAAATTGATCTGAAAAATAAATGTAAAAAAAATTAATCTAAAAAAAAATAAATATTAAACACTTAAATATAAAAAAATATCAATTCTTAACACAGCGTCGTTAGTGTTATATTAATTCTTTTCTCTAGGCAAGCAAGCAAACGAAATAAGTGATGCGATAGACGCGCACATGTATTTTTATATATATATGCTTTTTTTCGTTCTGTAGTCATTCGCTTTCTATAGTTTACTGGAAAAATTACCGATGAACCGTAATTAACCGATAAAATTTATAACGAACCGATAAAATTTATAACGAACCGCAGTATCAATTAAAACTGGCGGCTTGCTGTAGTAAACCGCCGGTTTTGACAATTGCCGCGTTTTTCCGCTAAAAGTGATTCAGTTTTTGTGACATGGGATGGTTCGGCCAATGGATAGATTTTCTTAAGATTTTATATTTAAGATGAGTATTACGAGTTTTTGATATATCCATCAAAACTTTTAGAAAATCTGCAAAACTAGGTTAGTTAACGAAGAAACAAATTTATTTACAAAAATATGTGCAAAAATATACGAAATATACAGCAAAAAATTAATTACAAAATGTTTTTATGGTATTTATAAAAGCTATTTCTCTTAGAATTCATACAGAAAGCTCCATTGCAATAAGAACAGTGATAAGAACTTCAATACTGAGTTTTATCTGTACTACAAAATGAACATCTTCCATTGGCCACTAACAATTGGAAGATGTGGTTCATTTCCATTTGGGGCATATCAAATTGTATTTTCCTTTCTAATATTTTTTTTCTCATTCGGTTTGAATTGATGGTAGATGATACATGTTTTTTGACTTTTTCTCCATCAATCAGTGCTGTTGTTGTTTAAGTAATAGAAAGAATCGAGAAAGCGAAACAACAATAGGTGATTTAGACTAGACAGTGACAACAAACGGTTTTCATTTGTACTATAATAATTCAACTATATAATTTCATGTAAAAGATTAGAGACTAATAAAATTACGAGTAAAATTAAAACTTAGAGCTCTTAAAAAAACTTGACAGGTCAATGATGATAAGTGTCAAAAACTAAGACAGATGTCACACAAATTCGCGTGATATAGTGAGACCCATCTGATATAGATTATGGCCATTGGTCACTAAGCATACTCATTCTATTCTACTACAGTTATTTATCTATTACATGGTTGATATATAATTCAATCATTTAAAACTATATTCAGCATTTTGCTAAAAACTCGAAAATAGTCAAAAAACAGCCATGATGATCTTCTAAATATGAATCATATTTATCGCGTGAATAAGTTTATTATAATTATAGTCTTAGTATAAGTATATGCATCGAAGCCTCCTCTATGTAATAGAGAAAAGCATTTTTCGAAATCTTTTTACATTTGCTAGTTATTCAAACATTATAAAACTTGAAAAAATATACTACATTTAAGACGGTCGGTCTGAAAGAGTTTAATGAGAGTCAGTGAATATTGAAGAGCATTCTTTTCTCTTCTCCATATTTAACAAGCATTGCTTGCTATTGAATGAGCATCAATTGACGACGTCGACGACGACTATTCAATGCTACCGTTGAGTCTGTTGTCGTGGTGGTCAGATCATTGCCGTCACCGCTTCCCAGATCTGATAGATCAGGAAAGTTTGGCAAGTCGGGCAAGTCGGTTGAATCTAGCTGATTATCAGATCGTTTGACCACCGATCGAGACAGATCAAATGGCTGTGGAGGGTCAACTATTGGTGTTGGTAGAGGCTGTGTTGTAACATGAGAAGAATGGAAACCATGAGAGAATCCGAAACGCTTTGGTTCAATGGCACCAGGATTCGCAAGAACACGATTGATTGTGCTCACTTGGAGAATGACGGCACAGGAGAAAAACAAGAGAATCGACATTTTTGTTGTGATTGATTATTAGTTTAATCGTTGAATATGAAACAGCAATGTAGTTCTGATTCCTTTATATACACTTTTCAGCCGTGAGCTTGTTTTTTTCTACTTATTCATCGAAATGTAGGCAGTTTCTGCATCATTGACACTGAGATGGAACTATTTTTGGAATTATTTCTGCGGCATCATAGGTACCATCTAGTAAGAAAATTTATTTTTAGTATCGCCGATGGATATTGCACTTTAAACTGCGTTCTTTTTTTTCAATTTTTCTTTTGATATCGTAGGCTGTACATAAACACGAAGAATCATTTCCTTTGTATATAGAAGAAAACATGATTTAAGTGCGACTGAAAATAGAATGGCAATATTCTTAACCAAATAGAATGAATCAAAATAGAATGAATCAAAATAGAAACGTTTGTACCGGTTTCAACTATTTTTTACGACGAAATATGGTTGAAATCTTTCTTCTTCTATTTTTGTCACTGTATTCCCATAATAAGTAACACGTATGACAACACACGACATACTTCTCAATATTACAATCATTTTTTTCATTAATTATTGTGTTAAATTATAATGTTAAACAAGGAACTAGAGCTGAATAAATCTTTGCAGTCAACGACATCAAGTAAAACTAATAAACGCGATGTTGAACTTGCCTTTTTCACTAAATAAAATGAAGAATATTCTCTAACAACATTACTTGGTGTTAATGAACAAAGAGAAAAAAGAAATCATACTGAAAGTAATGATGATTATGATCTTATTATTTATGGATCAGGCATCCCAAAAAGAACCCGATCGAACCAACACAAATTCCGTACAATTATCAATTTCTTTTCTTACAGCGACAACTACATCCAATCATAATCATCCAAGATTGAATAATCCGAATAACCATTCGTTTACAAATCAATTAATAAACAATGTCGATACAGTAAATAATAAATTTACAATAACTAATAATGTTATTAATTATGCAGTTGAATAAAAATAAGCTTCATGTTTAGTAAAAGAATTACTTAAATTAATTGAACCAAATTACAAAAAAATGAATCGGAAAATGAATGATGATGTTGGTTTTGAATCAAAGTTCATTGACAAAAATGATGATTTAATTTGACAACAGGGAATATTAAATTATTAATATACTTATGTGATATCAAGGATGTCCCTAATAAAATATTAAATGTGAATATTAAAGTTATTCTACCAAAACATCTGCTCCTTCGGAAATTTATTAGTATTAAAGGTATACCAGATACCATTGATACTGATGATGTTAAAAGTGAACTCTTACAGAAACACAAGTCAATTTATGCTACTCTCTAAAAAAATAGGTGTCGTCTTGAACCTTTTAGGGTTCCGGATTTGGATACAATTTTAGGCACCTTTTTAGGTTCTGGCTTAAAACTGGTCCGGTCTCGAAACTCTTCCTCCTTCTTCCAAAAATGGTTTCATCATGTTGAAACATAGTCCATTCGACTCATTTAGTCTACCACTGCTTATTAATTCTATGTCTTAACCCTTATCTACATCCTTAACCCCTTAAATCTATATCTAATCTCTTATTGTTACCCATAACCTCTTAAATCTATATCTAATTCCTTAAACCTATATCTAACTCCTTAACCTTATCCTTGACTCTTATACCTATATCTAATGCCTAAACTCTGTCCTTAAGCACTAAATTCTATAGGTTGCATAGATGCCTAGATTTGCTGTGAATAGAGTAAAAGCAAGCACTTTCTCCTTTATATACACGAAAAGCCTATCGCCGTTGTTAGATACTGAGAAGATTCTACATAAAAAGCATTAATTTATATCGTATGATTGAACTTACTAATGAATTGATCATTTACATATACCTAAATAGATAAAAACAGTAATTTCTTTTATAACATTAAACTTACCATTGAACTGGTTATTGATATGCATCTGCATGAAGAAAATAATTCATTTTGTAAGCTATAATTTATTCGTGGATTGATTGTTGAGACATAAGTAAAAACAAAGAAATATTTTATTTTATTAGATCAAACTTACATTTGAATTGACGTTCAGATATATGTAAACATATGAAATAATAATTTACGTTCAATATATCTTTGTGAACATAAAAGATCGGCATTGACATTCAGAATTTTTCTTATATTGAAACATTTATTCTCATTTGTTACACACAGAAACTAGCAGAATAGATTCAAAAATTATTCATTTTACAAGGAAGTCATGAATAATACAAATGCAATAAGTATTTGTAGCATTCTCTTAGTAATTTATATAACAATTTGACTTCTACTTTTAAATGAAATGTAGGTATTCAAATTGGATAGTGTAAAGACATGAATACCAACATTGTTGAAATAATCTATAGCGTTGAGAGTAATAGACGGATTCAAATCGAAAAAACGCATTCTAACGGTTATAAGGAACAAAACGGCGAATGACGAATCGCATTCAACAATTTGAATGAAAAATGAAGAACACTTAAGAATTTCTACGATAATTGCATGTCATTCCATGTCTTCGATAGAGAACATCTAGTCTTATTCAACTAAAGATTGTGTGTTGTTTTTGAATGCAGTGATATGTAAAAATAGTAGTATTGGTCTTAAAGCACGTTCATATGGTTAGTCTGAATTTTTTAAGATGTAACTATTTGATAACACTTGTTTGCATAAATACAAATGTTGATAAATGTATTTTGAAAAGAAACTGATATCCGGATATTAGTCCGTTAAGAATTTATTGGAATATAAATTGCATTTAAATGTCGTTATATGCAACAGATATTTCTTCAGAAGTGTCACAAATGTATCTTTTGTTTTATAGGAACTGTAAGACAAAGTATAATGCAAAAAAAAAGTTCTTTTCATTTTCAGCGACGCATTCAAATAGGGATATACCAAGAAATAAGTCAAAAAAACAATTATTTTTGCGTTACAAGAATTTAAATTAAGTAAATCATTATTATGCATTTTTTCCTTCTTATTTCATATTCTCTACAAGACATCAATTAGTTTTATTTTAATTCTGTATCCAGTAAAAATATGTCATTGAACAATGCAACAACTTCTATCAATCGTTATGTTCCTATTTTTATTTACATATTTGGTGCGATTGTTAATCTTCTCAATGTACTTGTATTAAGTCAACGAACTCTTCATTCAAATCCATCTTCTATTTTCTTCTTTTTTTTTTTCATCAATCGCTGGTCTCTTTGTTATTGTTAGTGGTCTCACAGGTCACATGTTGTCTAGCTATGCAATTGATCTGACTTCGACTGTTGAATGGATTTGTAAACTTCGAAGTGTTGTTCTGTATTTTTCAAGAACAATAGTCTTAGGGTTAATCGTTTTAGCAAGTATTGATCGATGGCTATTATCTAGTTTAAACGCAAGGTTACGACAGATGAGCACTATGAACAATGTTTGACGAAGTATATTTGTTGTTCTCATTTATACATGTCTTCTCAATTCTCCAATAGTCTATTGCTTTGAAGCCAATCAAGCTAAATCTCCACGACCATGTTATACTTCAACATATATTTGTCGTCTGATTACAGATCTATTCTATGCATTTGGTACCACATTATTACCACTGTTATTGATGATCATTTTTGGATTAATGGCGATTAGAAATGTGCAGTGCTCGCGAATTCGTATACAAGTAGCGTTCAATTCAGACTCAAATTGTGTCAATATGAGAATAGTAGTACTTGGAAATGAATCATTACAATTAAGAAAATTAGATAAACATTTAATTAAAATGCTACTCGTACAAGTCACTCTGTTACTTTTATTTACATTTTCTCATGCCATTCAAAGATTGTATTTAACATTTGCACCAAATCCATCACCACAATCATTACAAGATCCAGTACAGAACTTGATCTTTAATTTGTTTACTCTTTTCTCATTTGTAGCTAGTGAAATGCCAATTTATATATACACATTAAGTGGTAGTACTGCTTTTCGAAATACATGTCTTCGTGTTGTGAAAACAGTTGTCAGTAAAATTCGATGTCATTAATGTTTGAAAGTTTGGTTTTTTTTTCGTAATAAACTGTACTATCATCAAGTCGATTGTTGGTACAATTTTGAGATATGAGAAAGAATAAAATATCGAATATCAAAAGAGAACTATTTAGAATATTTTTTACGGAACATTTTTTCGATTATTAACTCAATTCAGCCATGCATGTTCAAAAATTTCTATTTCAGATATTAATATATTATTTATTTTCAATAAATTTGATCATTTCACAATGAATTTTCATAAATAATTAAGACTATACAACGATGATTTCAATAATACTGTAGATAATGGTAGATTTTTACAAGTCACAGTTGTGAATAATTAAATATCAATAGGGACCAAGACATTTCAGCAACCATATCTTTGTCGTTTAAATTTAATTTTTCTCAAAGACATGATATATGGAAGTTTGAGTATTAAATGACCTAACAGGACATTATCAGCTTCAAATTGGTTTAATACTTTTTCTTGAGAAAAAAAATTATTCAAAACAATTTACAGAAAAACACATTGTTTGCCATTATTTTCCGTTCATTGACTATTGTATATACGTGTCTGAAATTTGAATAATTATTCTTTTCTTGAAAAAATTTTAAATGTAACAATCATTTGAAAGGATAGAATTACTGCATTTCAGATTTCGAACTACTAGATAAGTTTGTTTTTTTTTCTAGACATTTTGATTTTAAATTTGAAAAATTAAAATAGTAAATTTTATCGAAAAGAAAACAAAAACAAAAAATGATTCATATAGCCGATTTTTCGAAATAATGGACATTGCAATGCATTATTTTTGTAATTAAAAACGCAATGAATGCAATTACACGGTAATGCAACCTATTTCATGCATTACAATGCATGAAATAGGTTGCATTATCATGTAATTGCGCACATTATATTTTAAAATGCATTTTAATGCATTAAGAACTTCATACATTATACTATTATCTGTTCAAAAAGCCAGTGAACTCGGATATTTTTGGAGTAACTCAACAATGGAAAGAGCTATAGAGCAGCGATTTTCACTAGTTGAAAAAGACGACAGCGAGGATCTTTTTCCCAATATTATATAAGACGAAATCATTTTAATACCAATCATTTCTGCAAAACATTGCAAAAAATGGTCCGTCATACGGATGAAATTGTAAGTTTAATACGAAATTTAGATAGAGGGATGTCATATCTATAGTTCAAGATACAATTCGAGTGATTATCTTCACACATTCTAATGTTAAGCAAATTTTCTTACTTTTTGTGAGAACTTTATGTCAAAGAAAGGTAATTTTTGTACATTTTTTTCTGGTGTTTTATAAAAAAAAGGTTGATTTTATAATAATTTCGTCTGATACAATATTGGAGTAAAAGACGTACCAATGTCTCTTCTTTCGATTGATGAAAATTGCAGCTCTCTAACTCTTTTCATTCTTGAGTTATTTCAAAAATATCCGAATTCGCTGACTTTTTGGACAGACATTAGTATGATTAGAATTCTATGATTATGCTCTTCAGTTTATACTTTCTAAAAAAAAAAAAGTTACCGAACTGAACCTTTAGGACTCTAGATCTTTTATCATTTTATGAATCATTTTAAGTTCTAGCCGAAAACTCTTAAACTTAAAAAAATTTTAGCGAGAAAACTACGAAACCTAAATAGGTTTTCAACGCTTTTGCTGAAACTTATAATGGTCAGAAAAATGGTACTGAAATATAGAATCCTAAAAGGTTCAGCATGACGCCGGTTTTTTTTTAAAGAGTACCCTTGTCCTCATACTTTTATCTGTATACCACTACCTCTAACCCCTTAAAACTGTACCCTCACATTTATCACCTTATAACTACATTCTAACACTTATATCCTTATAACTATACCTCGTTGATGATACTTTTACAACTGTATGCTTATGAATAAATACTATGACTATCCAGATATCTGAAGCCTATTATCCATGAGGATTTCGAATATATTACCTGAAATTAATTCTGTATAAATTTGTGTAACATTGAAGCTCCATCAGTTCATTGTAGTAAGAAGCTTGAATATCAGAGAAGTACAATGCAATGTTTATGTGTTATTGGACTATAGATTAACATAACGAATGCCCCAGAGAAAATGGGCCTCTCAGTATTTTAAAGACTTATCCTCTATTATCCCTATGACTAAAGTCTTTTTTATTATCAAAAGATAGTACTTGAAATTCTCTACAAAACCATATATGACTAGACCCAGCAATAGTTTTAGATATATTTGAAAAAAGATGAAAACCAAAGACATACAAGCAATTGTACAAAGCAAATGATGGATGTCTCATAATAAATGGCCGCACTTTGTATTTCACGTTGTAATCTCTAAATACGTTCTATTAAAAAAATAGAATATATCACAAGATGCAGCATGAAGAGCTCTACAATCTACAAATTAAAGTTGATTTTAACTGTATACTTTTTGTTTTTATAAAAAAAAAAGTAAAACTCTGTGCGACCAATTTTCCTCTTAGCGAAAACCAATCACACAGATTATGGAGGTTTTTTTTAGCATAAAAAGTATACAAATAAAATAAACTGTTCTTTATAAACTGTAGAGCTTTTCACGCTGCATCTTGTGATATGTTTTGGTTTTTCTAGAAGAAGCATATTTGGTGATAAAAAGACAAAAGGAATTCTCGTTCGTATAAAAAAAAATGATTTCTTCACAATGGCGATAATTGCTCGCAGAGAGTTGTGTTTTTTTTTAAAACAAAAAGTATAGTCTTTAGTTCTCGTCTTTTTTCAAACATATCTAAAACTGTTGTTGGGTCTAGTCATATATGGTTTTGTAGAGAATTTCAAGCGCTATCGCTTGATAATAAAAAGAGCGTTAATCACAGGGATAATAGATGAGAAATCTGTAAAATACTGAGAGGTCCATTTTTCCTTGGACACCCGTTAGAAATACACAAGGGTCGCTAAGATCCTGATATTCGGAATCAGCTGGGTGAACTGCATCCAGGCATGCATGTTTCTATGAAAAAGTGATTGATCACTTGGGAAACTTTCCTTGTAAGATAAAATTTCTAAGCACTCAAAATTCTAGTTCTAACTTATATCTTTTGGTCCATCGGATATAATTTCTAGCGGGTCAAAAGTGAACAAACACCTCGTCTAAAAGCTGTCCGATCACCAGTTAGTTTCTGTTCTCTGAATTTTATGTGTTATTATTGATTATTATGTCATATAATGTAATGAAGTCTATACTTTTTCGCTTTATATTTATTATCGAAAACAAAAGAAATCTACAATAATCTTCAGCATCCATAACAGAAAGTAAAATCTAAATAAGTTACATTTTATTTGTATAATGACAATTCTTCTCAAATGTTTAAATTGACCTCAAGCAATTATATATAGATTTCATCATTTTTGAAATACGTTTCCATGATAACATATATTATTCGATATCATAATTCAAATAAACATAACAGAATCGAATCAATTCACATAAACACGAAAACAGTATCTACGTAAGATTAGCAGCTCCCTCTATTATCGATTTCTAGTATTCGAGGAAATAGACAAAAAATCATATTCATCATTGGTCTACATATGTATCCATTGATTGTTCGTTCATTGTTCTAACGACCTTTTGTCTTGTTTGTTGTTGTTCTCTTCTTATTGTATCGTCGTTATAATCTGAAATCTAGCTATTAAAATATTCGAATTATTTAAAGAATGCGTGACAAATTAAATAATTAATCTTAAAAATTAATAATGAGTGAAGATACAGGTAAATCACCTGATCAACAATCAACATCAACTTCTGAAATCAAAGTTTTTTATTATATCGATGATCAAGATCCACCTTATTTAACAAAATTAAATGTAACTGGTTTACCACGTTTAAAAGATTTTAAAAATGCTCTTGATCGTAATTGTGCTAAATATAAATTTTTTTTTGCTACAAATGATCCATCAATTGGAAAAGTTAAAGAAGAAATAACTAATGATGAACAAATTTTACCATTTGATACACAAGATCGTATTCTTGCATATCTTGTTTCTATTGAAGGTAGTACAACATCAAGTGGTGGTGGTGGTGGTGGTGGTGGTAGCGGAAGTAAACAACCGAAACTTTCTCATCATCAGCGAGATGATACTATATTAACATCAACAACAAATAGTTCATTTAATATTCAACAACCACGTTTACAACGTATGAGTCGACGTTATGCATCAGCTAATAGTGCTGATTATCAAAAATATTTTCTTAAACAACGAGCTGTTAATGATATAGCATCCTTTCCAAGTAGTGATTTGGAGTCAACAACATTCTTAGATGAAACGGAAGATGATAGGTTAGTATAATATACTTGATTGCAATGTAACTGACGATGGAATCTCTTTAATTAAGATTTGATTCAAGCTATCGAGCTGTTTTTCTAGAGACCTCAAGTTTTCAGAGAGATCGTATTTTGAAATTTGTGCATACAGAGAAATCAACTAGACTAGCTTCCATAAAAAAAAAAATGTTGTATGCACTATTCATGGAAAAAGGTCTATATCTTGAAGAGACTTTATTCAAAATTTCTAATTTTTTTTTATGGAAGGTACCCTAGTTGAATTCTCTATATACAGTTCAAAATTTGATAGCTTAGTGGAATCTTAATAGGAACCCAAATTCTTTTAGGATTTTTATCAGAATACTATGTAGTAATTATAGACAAAAAAATTCATATAAAATCGGAAGGAGACAGCTGTAGAGGTTCTTTCATGTAGATGAAAATATGCATAATGATTGAATTATAAAATTTTCTAATTAATGACTGGTAGAGTTGATATCGATTAATTCACCTTGTTCATACAATGAACGCAACGTACTCGATAAGTATCATCGTACGGCTTAAAGTGACTTTTCGTTCAAAAAATGATCAAGCATACTATTCGCATAATTTAATGATAGTTAGAATATTATATGAATCTATAGTACGAACTCAGGAGTGAATCCAGAAAATTTTGAAAGG